TTCCCGTTGAGGACGGTGCCGTTCTGACTTCCCTGATCTATCAGCATATAGCACTGCTGCTCCTGGTCAAAATAAACTTCAGCATGGGACTAGAGAGAAAAAACATCAACAAGGAGTGAAAACGTTGTCAAAATGCAATCAAATTCATCCTGTTTACTGATTTAAACCACGTTCCTGGTGTTATTATTATTCTATTTTCTTTAGAAATGAACTACCGTTCAAATGTTTGGGATCAGTAATTTTTTTCTTAACGATATTAATACTTTTATTCATGCATTTTATTGATTAAAAGTGACAGTGAAGACACTGTGTTTAACTTTCTATTCAAAGAATCCTAAAAAAATTAGCCTGAAAAATCTATTTAAAAATGACAATTTTTTATCATGGTTTCCACAAAAATACTACATTGACAAAAATGTTTCTTGAGCAGTTAATCAGTATATTAGAATGCATTCTGAAGGATCATGTGACACTGAAGACTGGAGTAATGATGCTGAAAATTCAGCTTTGCATCACAGAAATAAATCACATAAAAAAAAAAAACTAAAATAGTTATTTTAAATTGTAATAATATTTCACAATATTGCTGTTTTTACTGTATTTAACTGCAGATTTAACTGCAGCCTTGGCAAACAAAAGAGACTTAAAAAATAAAAAATAAATCTTTGTGACCCCCAAACTTTTCAATTGTAGTTTATGTCAGATTACAGGAGTAAAATGCATTATAAATTATGTTTTAAGATACTTCTTTAAAATAAACAAGGGATTTAGAGAGTATGTTTCAGTGAATGATCATCACAAGACATTTGACCATAAAAATGCATAAATCTCAGCACTTCAGATTGTTTAAAGTCATAGTAAAAGTGCTTTTGGTCAAGAATGTGTGTATAGTTTGATTTGAGTTTGTTTTACCTTGCTGACTCCCATCTCTGGGATTCTGATGGCATGATTCATGTCTTTTTCTCTGCAAACAGATACACACAAACATGTTAACTCGTCAACGCAATTGATGAACAGAACTACACACACAACTGTACCGACCGGCCGATGGTGGCGACTGTGTCCGCCGTGAGGATGAAGAGCGTTCCTGTCTGCAGCACAGCAGAGCGAACCAGTTACCCGAACACACGGCGGCCAGGCTTCTGAAATATAGAAATCACACACATTACGAATAGACAAAAATAAAATGTTACAGTAGTGCAAAATATGGCATGATGCACATTTGAAAATAACAGTGCATCTATAAACGGCCAATAGCAAACAGCCACCAGGGGGCGCAATGTTTGCTTTCCTCCTCACCTTCCTGCATCTGCGTTTCCATTTCGCTCTCAGGACTGTCATGTTCTGGTTGGACAGGAGATGCAGACGAGGAGGAGGATGATGATGATGCAGAAGAAAGTTCTTTCTCTCCATCTGATTCTGTGATCTCACCCTCCTCCGGCTCGCTCTCACCGCTCACGTTATCAGAGCGTGGCTTCCTGTCTCTGCGGGTCTCAGAACACGATCTCTTCTTCTCTTTCCTCTTCTTCTTTCTCTTTCTGCTGTGGGTGTCATCAGAATTCGACCCCTTTTCTCTCCGACTCTTGCTGTGTGAGTCATCAGAATGTGATTCGCTCCGCCTCCGGGTTTTCTTTCTGTTCGCAGAGCGATCTCTGCTTCTGTCTCGGCTCTTGGTCTGTCTGGATCGTTCTTTGCTGCTGGGTCGCTGCTGCGGGCTTTGGGACCGAGACTCTCGTCCTTTTTTAAGTGATGATGAATCATCCTTCTTACCTCGCTGGTGGTTTTCAGACTGTCTGACAATCTCAGGCCCTGCCTCTTTATGGTCCTGTCAGTGATTAAATAACTGGTTTGATTTGAATATATTTTTGAAACGTAATTTATTCCTGTGATGCAAAACTGAATTTTCAGCATTACCATGCCAGTCTGTAGTGTCACATGATCTTTCAGAAATTGCTGATTTGCTGGTTTTAATATGCTATTATTATCAATGTTGCAAACAGCTACACTGCTTAATATTTTTGTGGAAACTTTGATAAATTTTTCTGTAAATAAATAAAGTTCAAAAGCACTTATTTAATATATCATTTTTTAAACATTATAAAATGTCTTTACGGTCACTTTTAATCAATTTAATGTTTCCATACTGAATAATTATTTCTATAAAAAAATAAAATAAAAAATAATGTACTGATCCCGAACAGTAGTGCATTATGGTCCTGTCAGTGAGCAAACACTCAGCCAATCAGGACGTCACCAAAAATGTCTCCACATTGGTTTGAGGTGAAAATGTAAGATTTGGATTTGCTTTCAAGGTCCACTTGAGTTTCAGTTTTGAGCTAGTTCAAGAAAATGTAATGCAAAACAACCACCTATAACCTCAACATCCAAACAGCACTTACTAATCTGGTTTAAGTTTGGCATCATAGTTTGATGTGTTTAGAATTCTTGTCCTTTTTGCCACAAAAAAGTACGTGGAGAAGAGCTGGACATGGGATAAAGAAATGGCACACACAATCCAGATTTTAAGAAACAAGCATGTGCTCTGACACTGCATGATGCCCCAATAGGGCTGCATGATAAATCGAAATGGAATCGAGATCACGATCGTTTATGCTCAACAAAGCTGCATTTATTTGATGAAAAAAACACACAAAAAAAACTATATTGTGAAATACTTTTACAATTTTAAATAACTGGTTTTGATTTGAATATATTTTTGAAACGTAATTTATTCCTGTGATGCAAAACTGAATTTTCAGCATTACCATGCCAGTCTTTTTATCTTTTTTCGTTCTTTGCTACATTTGTGCCAAAATCTGTAGGATTATGTTGTCCATTTTTTAAACATTGTTTGGTTTATATTGTCCATATTTTATACATTTGAATATTAATTTGGCCTTAATTTGAAGTTCTTGGGTTATAATTTTCACTGTGCTGGATTATTTTGGCCATATTTCAGGCTGTTTTGTCAAGTTTCTGTCCATATTTTAATTTCTTTGTGATATGTTTTATCATTTAGCCATAATACCGATTGTTTTGACAACACGTTGGATTGTTTTGGCTATGTTTTAACAGTTTTGTCTATTTTTTGGCCATATTCTAATTTCTTTGTGATATGTTTTATCATTTTAGCCATAATATACATTGTTTTGACTATATATTGGATTGTTTTGGCTATATGTTTTAATAATTTTGGCTGCTTTTTGGCCATTTTTAATAATTTTTTATTCTTTCCTTATTTATATTTTTTATATTTTAATCAAATGATATTCGTTTTTTATCATTTTAGTCATAATATAGATAGTTTTGTCAATAAGTTGGGTTGTTTTGGCAGTAATTCAGGTTTTTGGCAATATGTTAGATTAGTTTACTTTTATTTTATTGTTTTAGAAATATGTCAGATTATTTTGCCTACACTTTGGAATTATTGTATTTTATTGTGACTTGTTATATTATTTTAGCCATTATACAGATAATTTAGACCTGATATTAGATTATACTGGCCATATTTTAGACTTTTGGTGATTTTTCATCTCAAAATGCAACACATGCAAACTACGTTAATACTGACATTAATAAATGCCCGGATCTATTCTTAGAAATAAATCACACTTAAGTAACACTTCTCATACCTCTGTCTGTGGAAAATCACTCGATTCATTTGGTAGCTCAGGATTGGCTGGTGCCGTCTCAGCTGTTATGTGATGCTCCTCGGTGGGTTCACAATATCCTTGAGTTTCCATGACAACATTCTCCTGTGCTTCTGCTGTTGTCTCTGTTCCTGACTGGTAGTACCCGCCATAGTAATAATTATAATAATCTGTTTCAGGAAGAAAATAACATTTAAATAACACATCAATGCTGCAGATGACAGGAATATTAACAAAGAAAATAAAAGAAAAAAACCAACCTGTCTCCGTCCATGTATACTCCTCCGTCTGAGTCTCAGCATCCATTTTCTCCCTCTCTCTTCTTTCGCTCATGGATAAGAGTGAAAAATTTAAGGGGGTCTGAATACTTTCCGTACCCACTGTATACTCCTCCGTCTGAGTCTCAGCATCCATTTTCTCCCTCTCTCTCTTCTTTCGCTCATGGATTTCATTTGACTAAATTATTTAAGTTTTTTATTATTACTAGTATTTTATCTTTTTTCGTTCTTTGCTACATTTGTGCCAAAATCTGTAGGATTATGTTGTCCATTTTTTAAACATTGTTTGGTTTATATTGTCCATATTTTATACATTTGAATATTAATTTGGCCTTAATTTGAAGTTCTTGGGTTATAATTTTCACTGTGCTGGATTATTTTGGCCATATTTCAGGCTGTTTTGTCAAGTTTCTGTCCATATTTTAATTTCTTTGTGATATGTTTTATCATTTAGCCATAATACCGATTGTTTTGACAACACGTTGGATTGTTTTGGCTATGTTTTAACAGTTTTGTCTATTTTTTGGCCATATTCTAATTTCTTTGTGATATGTTTTATCATTTTAGCCATAATATACATTGTTTTGACTATATATTGGATTGTTTTGGCTATATGTTTTAATAATTTTGGCTGCTTTTTGGCCATTTTTAATAATTTTTTATTCTTTCCTTATTTATATTTTTTATATTTTAATCAAATGATATTCGTTTTTTATCATTTTAGTCATAATATAGATAGTTTTGTCAATAAGTTGGGTTGTTTTGGCAGTAATTCAGGTTTTTGGCAATATGTTAGATTAGTTTACTTTTATTTTATTGTTTTAGAAATATGTCAGATTATTTTGCCTACACTTTGGAATTATTGTATTTTATTGTGACTTGTTATATTATTTTAGCCATTATACAGATAATTTAGACCTGATATTAGATTATACTGGCCATATTTTAGACTTTTGGTGATTTTTCATCTCAAAATGCAACACATGCAAACTACGTTAATACTGACATTAATAAATGCCCGGATCTATTCTTAGAAATAAATCACACTTAAGTAACACTTCTCATACCTCTGTCTGTGGAAAATCACTCGATTCATTTGGTAGCTCAGGATTGGCTGGTGCCGTCTCAGCTGTTATGTGATGCTCCTCGGTGGGTTCACAATATCCTTGAGTTTCCATGACAACATTCTCCTGTGCTTCTGCTGTTGTCTCTGTTCCTGACTGGTAGTACCCGCCATAGTAATAATTATAATAATCTGTTTCAGGAAGAAAATAACATTTAAATAACACATCAATGCTGCAGATGACAGGAATATTAACAAAGAAAATAAAAGAAAAAAACCAACCTGTCTCCGTCCATGTATACTCCTCCGTCTGAGTCTCAGCATCCATTTTCTCCCTCTCTCTTCTTTCGCTCATGGATTTCTGCACGCAGTTTATCAACCTAAAGCAACACAGACACAATGTTATCAACAATCTTCTTTTGTTGACACGTTTGTTTTGGGAGCCTCAAAGTGCTCCTTAAACCATCAACTGTCCCTGTTCTCCACGAGCACCTGGCTCACCTGCTGTCTGAGATCTTCATTGTAGCTTTCTGTCGTCTTCTGGAGTCGTTCGCTCTGGCTGAGCTGCTTCTGTAACTTCTGAAGTTCATCCTTACATGTCTTCAGCTCCCGTCGCAGCGCCTCTGCTTGTGATCTCAAAGACACAAGATCTGCTTCCAAACCCTGATCACTGGATTCAGGGTCTGGGTTTCCTTCTGCAGCCATTGCTGAGGCTGTTCTACCTAAAATGTAGATTAGAATAAGAAAGTATAGTTTTCTGCATTAAAAAAAGATAAAAATGTCACATAATTTTGATTCAAATCTGAAGAGCTAAAAGAGTTAAAGATACATCAATACATTCTAAAATACAGAAATGATCAAATGATATGAAGTAAAAAAACAAAAGTAACTAAATAAATTACTTCAGTTCGACTTTTTATGTCAACAATTATCTCGTTTGTGTCACTTTTATTTATTAATACATAAAAACAGCTGCGAATATATTTTAAGGAGGGAGAGTTCCAAGAGCTCATAATTTTATTTTTGGGAGTTACTTGAAAACTCTTAACTAGACTAACCAATCAGTTAAGGATTGGTTAATATACATAAAATGCAAATAAGTATGCACAACTGAAAACGTTGCATTTAAAAATGACAATAATCTGAGAATAACAATCAACAAAAGGTCTGAAGTAGTTGTATATAATACAGGATATAATAAGAAAACATGAAACAATCCACAAGCTGTGTTTTGAGTTGTATGCCACATTCTCCTCACCCGAATGTAAATCACCCGTTTTCCCTGCGCGCGCGTCAATCTGCAAATCAAAGATAAACATCATATGACCACCGTGCACTGGACACATATTCGTGTAGAAGTTTGTGTGATCGTAAAGTGCGTTACAGGGAGCAAACGTGATGAACTTTAATTCCACTTCAACAGACGCTGCCATACTTTCACTTTGTGATGTCATGGCTTACTTACTTCCGCGTCACTTCCGGATTTTCTATGGCGCCACAGCGCCCCCGGTGTAGAAGTCATTAAAGTGCGTTTGCCCGAAGTGACAACCTGTTACATAAATTATAATGACATATTCAGTCATTCATTCATTCATTCGTATTTATTTACATTTTACCTAACCCTGAGCGAATTGTTTATCATGCAAAGGAAAGAAATGTAAAGAGAAATTACAAAAATAATAATAATAAAAAAAAAAATCTTAAATTCGTATTTCTTGGGACCCATGGATTATTTATTTATTTGGCTAGTTAGCTGGTTGTAGAGGATTTTTTTACTCAGTTGCTCCAAGATATTCTAGATTTATTTATTTGTTTGTGTGTGTGTACTAAAATTGGTTTGGCCATAACTTACCGGTATTTTCTTTTTATTTCTTTTTTTTTTTTCAAATACAAATTTTTTTTAAAACTGCCAATACCAGTAGTTGCTCATGAATTACAAAAAACAAACAAACAAA